ACCTTACAGGATGTTGACCTATAAGGCATCCTAGTTTACTTTAGATTCCTTTTCATAAGCCAGTGAAAATAACAAATCATACTGATTAAATCAGTTGTGTCTGGTACCAAGCTATTTATAGAACATTTTCAGCTGCCACGGGTGCTTGAAGACTCATAGCTAACTGCTTATCAACAAAATAAGAACATAAGTTTCTCATTTACAAAATTTCCAGGGTCCTGGGTTCAACCAAAGGTCAGACCTCAAGGGGAGGGAGAAGGGGGAAGTAGGCAAAAGGGATGCCAGCCTTGTTGGCTTTCTTAGAATAGCATGGACTTTGTCAGCTTGCTATTTAGTACCTCACAACCTGGCACTTCTCTCCTGATCTCCATACTCATATAACCAACTCCTCACTCATGTAACTAACAGTCTAAACCTTTGCCTCCCATATTCTACCCCATCTTAGTAAATGGCAACTCCATTCTTCTAGTCACTCAATCTGTAATCATAGCAGATTCTTCTTTCTTGATCCCCACAAATCTAATCCATCAGCAGTCCTGCTAGCTCTACTTTCTAAATATATTCAGAATTTGACCTTTTGTCACCATCTCCACTGCTACCACCCCAGGCCAATCTACCTGTTATTGTATTAGCCTCTTAACTAGTCTCCTTGCTTCCTCCCTTGCCTACTACAGTCTCTGCTCAACACAGTAGACAGTGATACTTTAAAAATGTCAGACCATGAGACTCCCATGCTAAAACCCAATGGCTTTCAAGCTCACTCACATTGAAGCTAAAGTCTTTACCATGACCTATAAGGCTCTAGAAAGCTGTGGTTCTCAAATTTATATGTGCATCCACATTACCAAGGGATATTCTTTTATTTGGTGACTAGCCAGTACAGGGATTTGAACCCTTGACCCGAGTGGTATAACACTGCACTCTAACCAACTGAGCAAACCAGCCAGCCCCTGCAGATCTTCTTAAAATGAAGATTTTCTGATTCAGTAGCTCTGAGGTAGGCACTGGCATCATGCATTTCTAATAAGCTCCAAGATCATGATATTAATGCTGCTGATCTGAGAACCACATTCTGAGGAACAAGACCCTAGAATAATCTGTATGACTTCCCATCTGACCTCTTTTTCCTAGCTTACTCCACTCCAACTAAATTGGCATTTGCCCACATCAGAGCCTTTGCATTGGCTTTTCTGTCTGCTTGAAATGCCATTCCCTGAGAACCTGCATAGTTCACTTTCTCACTTCGTTAAGGTCTCTGCTCAAAATGTCACCTATGAACAAACTTCTGATCATCCAGCAAAACATGGCAGTCCCTACCGTGGCACATCCTATCTTCTTTGCTTTATTTTTCTCCTTGGCCCTTACAACCATCTAACATGTTTCATATTTATTACTTGTTGAGAGCCTTGAGAGAAAGAACTTTGTCATTTTGTCTGTTGTTTTACTGTTGTATTGCCAGTGCTTAGAATAATGCCTGGCACATAGCACATGATCAGTAAATACTTGTTGAATGATTTAAATGATTTGATTTTGTATATTTACAGCAGTATGTATATGTAGGGTTCTAAACACCAAAATCATCAAAACAATACAATTTTCCTAACAAAACCTCTTAGAAACAGTGACCATTTAAAAAAATGATGCATTCCAACAACTAAAGAACAATTTGCTAAAGTATTCGGCACGAGCAATTGATGATGCATATATCCATGCGATATGAAGAGAACAGCATATCTGTGTACACTGTTGGTTGGTCATCCATCAGTCAACCTCCACACTCTGCCTTGTTCCTGGCTTACCAAATGGTGGTATGTTCAGGCTTAGGGAGGCTCCTAGGTAATAATCTTGATCAGGTTAGCCAATTGGGGTAATTCCATTTCCATTACCAATAATTAGAGAAACAGGCACATGATCCAATTCTGGTTAAGTCTGTTGGGAGGTTTCTGATAAAATGTTTAAAAAAAAAGAAGAAGAAAATGCACAAAATAGAAAACCACTTTTTCTACTTCTGGACATCAGAGCAAGGAGCTGCCATCTGGTAATCATGATTAAAAGGCCAAGAGAAGATAAAGTGGAGTTATATTATCAAGCTACTGCATTAACTAACCCTTCCTGTTGTAGGAGATAATAAATGTCGGTTATTATTCCTATCTTTACAGATGAGGTCACTAAGGCAGAGAGCATTAAATAACTTGTCCAAGGTCAGAGTGGTAGAGCCAGGATTCAAATCCAGGCCGCCTGGCTCCAGAGCCTTTATTCTATGTACCTTTCCAAAGCAACCTAAGTGATACAAGACCACTCCCAACAAGTACAGTGATATTATGGGGTCCTGTTAATGCACAAGTTGTTTTTGATCATTTATAGGTTTCAGTAGGTGACTGCACTGTACATACATTGTACAGTGTTGCGGCTGTATATATATGTTTTTCCCCCCATTATTGCACATCTTGGAAACAAGATACCTAGACTCTAAAAGTGTTACTTAAAACAGGTCAGGTCAAGTCCCAGACATTCTGATGAAGCTATCTTCTCCTATAACTCTTAAATCCACAAAGACTCTATTTTGGCATATGGTAAGGGGTAAAAATCTAAAATATTCTTTCCCGGGCTGGCCCAGTGGCACATTCGGTAGTGCGGTGCTTGGGAGTGTGGCGGCGCTCCCGCCGAGGGTTCGGATCCCATATAGAGACCGGTCCGCTCACTGGTTGAGCGCGGTGCGGGCACGACACCGAGGGTTGCGATTCCGTTGCCGGTCACGGTACAGGCGCGACACTGAGGGTTGCGATCCCGTTACCGGTCATGTAAAAAGACAAAAAAAAGGAAAAAAAAAAAAAATAAATAAAATAAAATATTCTTTCCCTAAAGAGTAGTCACATACACCAAAACTGTTTATGAAATTAAATAAATAAAATAAAATAAAATAAAATATTCTTTCCCTAAAGAGTAGTCACATACACCAAAACTGTTTATGAAATAATCCAGAGAAGGCAGTTAATCAGTATATTCTTTGTGTCATGAATCCCATGCAATGCTAGTGAGAAAACAGTAGAGAATGAGAGAGATGTGTTCCTTGCCCTCATGGAGCTTCATGGTGTAATGGAACAGAAATGACAATGTAATTACATATGGGGTGGTTGTTTTAAAGTGCTAGGAATAGCAGCTATGGAGTCTTACCTCTAAGCTGTGACGGAAGATGCCTGATGGGCAGTACCTCTTGCACAACATACTGATTCACCCCTCCACTTTTCAACAACTCCTCTGGAGATAAGGGCAGACGGAATTCATACAGTTGGGGAGACATCCTTCTCTTACTGGTTCACAGGGCTGGAAACCAAGCAGCAAAAAGGTCAGGGTCTATGTCTAAGGCCTGTCTTTTTATGTGGTTCTATTATTTCCCCACCTCTAATATATAACAGTTTTCAGTCTTAGGACAAGCTAATAATATTACCTTAGAGGACATGAGATCAACCGTGGGCTAGAATCTAAATCTAGTCTTGACTCTTGACTCTGCCACTTGGTCACGTCACTTAACCCCCTAGGCCTCATCTGTAAAATGGGGTTACTAATCTCCAATTACTTCGCAAAGTCGCTCTGAAGGTAAAACCAATCAAGGGATATGAAAGTGTTTAAAGAACTGTAAAGTTACCATTATTACTTCCATTTTTATGCGCAAAGCTCCCTAAGCGTAGAGAGAATGTCTCACCTGAGGCCAGAACAGCGGCCCAGCGCGGGCTGGTGGGTGTCCCCGCTCCAGAATGGGAGAGCACTAACATTTATTATTTCCTTATTCTGTGCCAGGTTCTGCTAGGCTATTTGAATGTATCATATTTGATCTCAATCCCATGGAATGCACAATAATACAATCCAATTTACAGATGAAGAAATTAAGGCTAAGAAAGATTAAGTAAGCCATTTGCCCAAATTACACATATTCTGGTGCGGATCTGTGACACTTAGTTGTTTCTACCACATCGCACCCAAGGATATACCTGCCGAACCTTCCCGCCTGTTGTATACTGACTCACACTGCGTCGCACTACCCCGTACCTGACCTTCCCAGTCTTTCACTCCCCACTCTTGATTAACACCACACCTTACCTGAGAGTCTCACCCGCCGCCCCTCCGACTCGGACTCCGCTGAAATGGAAGGAAAAAAGACGAGTGCACATTCCGCGCCAATCAGAGAGGCAGTTCTCAAGGTGGCGGAGAAACCGGCCAACCCACAATAGGCGGAGGCAAAGACCCGCCTCTGAGGCAGGAGCCGCGCGGGCAAACCTCACGCAGTTCAGTTCAAACCTCAACGACTGCAAGGGGGCCAATCGCGAGGCTCGCTGGAGAGGCCAGCCAATCACAGCGCAAGGGCCGGAGCGCCCGGCCGCGCCGCCGAGGGAGGGGCGGGGCCTGGCGTGAGGTTCGGCCAGGCTCCCCACGCCCCTCGCCTTGCGACTGTCTTCTTCCCACTGGGTTCCCTTTGCCCCGGGCGGTAGAAAGGGGGCCCTACCAGTGACTGCCAGAAATGTCGCTTTCCTAGCTGGGCGGTGGTAGTACCCCTGGAATAGGGACCCATTCAGTCACCTCCCCCGGACAGGAGACAAGTCCAGGCTGGGAGTTAGGAAGCTTGGGCTCTAATCCAGGTTTCGCCATCTCCTCCGCTAAGTGACGTCCGGCAAACCACTTCATTCTCCGAGCCTCAAATTTCCTCCCCTGTAAACAGGCATAATAAAAACAGCTACGGCGCAAGACTGTTGTGAGGCACACAGAAAGGGCCTGGTCTTTGAACACTCCGAAGCTCCGGGTTCCAAGTTCTGGACCTTCCTCTCCCTCACAGTTGAGGGACGCCCAAGGAAACAGAACAGGGTGAATTTTCTTGAAATTCCAGTTTGGGGAAGACCTAAATAGCAACGAGGAGCGTCATTCCGCTCTTCCGGAGCTCCAATACTTCCAGCGGTTAGACCGGAAGCGCCGAGGCGGGCTCTGCGCCCAAAGCTACCTGGGTAAGGCACAAGATGGCTGCTCCCACCCTGGAACCCGTGTGAGGCCAGCGGAGACGGTCCCTGTTGTCATTTCCTTGACGACTACGTCTGGTCTTCATTGTTGGGCTTGTTTGGTGCCCTGTCGAGGGGGAAAGACTACAGCAATGGCTGGGAGCCTGTCTCGGGGGGCAGGTAGGGGCTTGTGGGGCTGGGTGCCCCTAGCCTGCAGAAGCTTCTCTCTGGGTAAGTGGGTGATGTAGAAGGACGGCTGGAAAACTACTTCTTAGTAGGCGGCTCGGATTCATTCCCTCTCTTTCTCGCCCCTAGGGGTTCCTGGGTTGTTCCGTATGAGGCTCACCCTCCCGCCGCCCAAAGTGGTTGATCGTTGGAACGAGAAGAGAGCGATGTTCGGAGTGTATGACAACATCGGGATCCTAGGCAAGACTTGACTCTACGTGATGCGATTACGCTGTAACGACTAACTTTTGCGCCTGTGTAGAGAATGGCACTGTAGGGCGCGCCCGTGGCTCACTCGGGAGAGTGTGGTGCTGATAACACCAAGTCCATGGGTTCGGATCCCATATAGAGATGGCCGGTTCGCTCACTGGCTGAGCGTGGTGCTGACAAGCCAAGGGTTAAGATCCCCTTACCAGTCATCTTTAAAAAAAAAAAAAAAAGTATTGTGCTCAATAGTAAGAGCAAACACTTATGTGGCTGTTTACATTGTGTTCGGCACTGTTCTTAGTGCACTACAAATATTAACTCATTTAATCCTCATAATAACCTTTTGACTTTACAGATGAGGTAACTGAGGAACAGAGAAGTTAAGTAATTTTTCCAAAGCTAATAAATGGCAGCGTCAGAATTTGAACCCCAAGTGTCTGGCTCTTAATACTGTGTTCTAAATGTGTCTTGACTATCGGTGCTGCTGAGGAAGATGCAGCTGTAAGTTGAAGGCATAGCTGATCTAGGCTGGAACTAATATGTTCTCTCACATTACACAGGTAACTTTGAAAAGCACCCAAAAGAACTGATCAAGGGCCCCAGGTGGCTTCGAGGCTGGAAGGGGAATGAATTGCAGCGTTGTATCCGAAAGAAGAAAATGGTTGGAAACAGAATGTTCATTGATGACCTGCACAACCTTAATAAACGCATCAGCTATCTGTACAAACATTTTAACCGACATGGGAAATACCGGTAGAAGAGAAAGCAGGGAACCGTGGAAGAGGCACATGTATCACCTTGGAGAAGGGGAAAAGTACTTTTTCCTAGGAGGAAAGGGCTTTGTATGCTCTGTAATAAAATGGAGCTTCTTTGGAATCTGATGTCCACACTTTTATTTTCTTCTAAATGCTGCTTCTACTTATTCATGTAGACTATCCCTAAGTCTTAGGCTTGGACTTCACCACTTGCTCTTTACAGTCAAGCTAAACCTGTGGCCTTAAAACAAGTTGGTGAGAGTACTTTATTGTTGGCACTTTTTGACATTGAAAGTGGTAACTTTTAATTGCCCCATAATGCAGTTATATTAAAAGCATTTCTAAAGACCCTTCCACACTTGGAATGAAATGTAATAGAAAGACAGAATTCTACTTCTGCACTCTCATCAAAAAATATTTACTAGGTATCTTGGAACTATAGGAAAAACAAAAAAATGTAAGATATCCTCCCCATTTTATTATGAGGCATTAAGTACCATATGAGTAGCGTAGATGGGGGATACTAGCCTGACTGGTCATCAAAATCATCGGGGTAGTTTAACATTTCAAAAGCTTGGTCCGAACCCCTAAAGACTGTGATCAGTAGAGCAAAGCTGAGTCTTGGGCATCTATGTGTTTTATTTTGTTTTTAATAATTAAAAAAAATCCAAACAATGAAAAATTTTAAAATTACAAAAGGCTAACCAGATAGAAAGTTTTCTTACAACCTGGTGTTTTGTGTGTGTGTTCATGTGCATGTGTGCATGCACACGTGTATTCCTTCTCAGAGGGAACCACCCAAGTTTCTTTTTTTCCTGTGGGGGCTGGCCTTTACAGGGATCTGAACCCTTGATCTTGGTGCCTCGGTGTTAGCACCACATTCTAACCAAGAGAGCTAACCTGACAGCCCTCAAGTTTCTTTTTAATCCTCCTGGACATATACTGTGCATGCACAAGCTTATGTAATCTACCAATCTATCTGCCCATCTACTTTTTTTTTCTTTAATTTTATTTTGTTGATATACAATGTGGTTGATTATTGTGGCCCATTACCGAAACCTCCCTCCCTCCTCCCTCTCCCCCTCCCAACCAACAATGTCCTTTCTGTTTGCTTGTCGTATCAACTTCAAGGAATTGTAGTTGTTAAGTCTTCTCCCCCCCCCCGGTTTTTTTTTGTGTGTGTGTGT